ATATCTGAAATGCGAAGTCCGACGAGATTTTGAGTGCAGGCATTCGAGTGTACTTTTGAAGACGCTGTTCCAGCACTCGGTGGGTTGTTTGGAGGGCCTTCGAGTAACCACAGTTTCAGGCTATGCTCTGCTGCGCAACAATGTACTGTTGAATCGGGCAGGTGGACTCGGAGCTCTGGATCCGTCAGCTGGTCTGTGGATTGCTTGGCCGAAGGCGACCCAAGCTGCCTTCGCCTCTTGTTTAATTCTTGTTCCAGATCGTTCTCCATGTTCATCGAACGCCTTACATATACGTAAGAAGACGTCTCCGCCATAGGAGAGCCTTCTAATTCCATTTCCTGATCCTCGCTAAAAGCGTTCTTCATGAACTGAATTTTTTTTCTGTTGATCGCAGTCCTATCCCCCTTCTTACTTCGTTTAGTTCTTTCAACATCGACTCTTCATTTATATTTTTCGAGAAGAGACAACGTCTTCTGCAAAACGAAGGTTCGAGGGGAATCTTCTATCAACTCGTAAACCTCTCCCGTTCCAATCCAGTATTTTCATCACAACTGCAAAACGGCGGTAAACAGCTTTGGCGACTGTCTCGTCGCACCCCCTTCGAAAGTGGCATGTTAAAGGGGCAATGGAAGAGGTATCGTTGTAGAGCACTTCTTGTAGTCGGCCAATGCTCTCACGTAGGATGAGTCCACCCCTTGGTCGATGAATGCCAAAAATTTGGTACTTCTCGACGCTGTCAAAGGCTTTCTCATAGTTGGTGAAGGTTGAAACAAGAGGTAGGCAATATTCGAGGCGAACCTCGATAATCCAAAAACCGTCTGAACGTGATTCACGGATTCCTTACGAAATCCAGCCTATTCTACAGGTTGGGCCTTCATATGCGAATGAGCATAATCGTCGTGAAGAGCTTATGAAGCACGCTCAGCAGGCATATTGGACGATCCGAAGATCCTCCCTATCGTCCTTCTTATGAAGAAGGATTGTTCGGGAGGTTCTCCACTTCGGGGATCCTTTTCTTTGAAGATAGGATGTTAGATGTTCCGCAAGTATCTCGTGTAGGCGATGTTTCAGCTTCGGCCAAAACATGGTCCGGTCCCAGAGCCGTGGCTGCCTTTATGGCCTGAATTGCGACGCGTACTTCAGCAGGTAGAATCCTGAAGGTGTTTCTCCAGTCGGGATAACGGATTTTGACACTGGTGTTGATTAGCGGAAGAGATCAGTCTAGAATCTCTTCGCGATCACTTCTTCTGTCGGGAAGATGTGCGAGCCCGTCTTCGTTCAATAATGGTCAGCGGAACACGGTAGTCAAGAAGTTCTCTGTGGTACTTTCTTGGACTTCTCCTTCCTTGTGCTTCTTTCAAAAGTTTCGATTGCCTGTACTTTCGAAGAACTTTTTGCAAAGCTGTCCTGCAAAACTGGTATTGACTACTAGTCGCTCGAGATGTGATGCCAATCTCAGTGCTCTTTCCCTCCCTAGCAAATCCTTGGTGGCTTTCAAAAATCGTCCCAAAATCTTTGTTCGAGGCATTGAGGCGCTTTCACCACAAACTCTCAGTCCTCTAAAAAGCGGCCGCAGTTCTTTGTTGGGTCCTCTTCGATCGTCTAATCACAAGTGGTCAGGAGCTCTTCTATTCTGACGCCGTCATATACGAAATCCCTTTTCCTCCAACGCTGTGAAGGATCTTTTTTTCCAGCTTTCGGCTAAATTGCAATTTTGCTCGAAGAAGGGTGTGATCTGGTACCACTTGAAGAGGCTACCACAGATACCACTGACAGAGCATGGAACATGGAATTAAGGGGCAAAAGCCAAAATTTGATAGGCGAGAATCCTTGTGGATGCCATTTGTCCTTGTGGATTTATGATCTGCAATTTTTGAAATAATTTTAATATGAGCTATTTCCTTTGAGGCTAATCTTAACCTCCAATGAAGATTTTGATTGGGTATGGTAACAAAATCTTGCTATTTTTTGCGTTATATGCTGACTTCAAAATACGACAATTTTTGATACCCACGTGCTTGTAGAACCCAATAATCCATTGTAAATCAATAAAACAGTTAACAGTTTTAAGAGTCACTTTAAAATCTGAAAAAACAAAATCCAATGGGACTTGCTGCTATGGGCTCTGTAAGTTATCCAAGTCATAGTCCGGCAGTTATCTGTCTGCCATTTTCTCATCGTAGTTTGACTGTCCAGACACAGCATGATACAAGCGAATGTGTTCTAATATCGTTTTTTAAACATTGAAGCTCCTTTCTAGGCAATACTTTGTATATAGGCTGCTCATGATACAGAAAGCAACAACAATGCACATCACCACCAATCGTGTGAACCAATACTGCATCAAAGCAATGAGGTTCTATTGTAAAAGTTCTACCAAAAATATATGCGAATTTTTATGTCATCTGCGAATGCACATATCTCAGCACAGAATTAGCTTTGTAAGTTGTACAGAAGAAATCGGCACATTTCTGGCAATCAACTTTGTATCTGCCGATAACTGCGGAGTTTTGGAGACAAAACTTCGTTAGACTTTGATTTGATGAATCCCGTTATTGAAGCTTTTCTGGCGCAGGAAGTTGGAAGGAAGTTGGGGTCGAAGTATTAACTGTTGTTGGAAGTTCAGCTAATATGGTGTAAAAGTAGAATTTTAGCCTTCATTTGTGTAACGAAAAAAGATTGAGCAGCGATTTGTTCAAGATTTACAATCATGGCTTTCCTATTTCTACAGCTTTGCCTAGGAATGTCTCGCTTTGCATGTTGCATATAATGTGGCCATCAAAATACAGGACAGAACAAAGAAGGAGCACATTTATTAAAAGTAAAAACAACTATAAGCGAATATAAAGTTATGTGAGAGATTAGCTTACATCCAAAGCCGAGCATGAGAGTTAATGTGTCGAGTGAGATCTGGCGTATCCATGATCCTGAAGCGTAGTTCTCCGAAAGATTTATAGCTGTGGTTGCCATGAGAGGTTATTGGTTCCTCCTGGAGTGAGAGTAGCCCATCCTCTTCCTACATATCCTACAGTGCCGAATGGTTGTACGTCTCGTGCGCGGTGCGCAGAATCATGAAAATGAATTCCTCTCAGGGCTTTAACAGTACTTCTACTAGTGCTCTTTCTTCGCATTCAAAACAACGATGACTTTTACATAGCGCTCATATCGGCAAAA